CGCCAGGAAACAGTGACCCCCCACCCCCACTATCCGTTTCAGTTTATTCAATTTACCATTAAGGTTTCAATCGTGTCAAAGAAGAGCGCTTTGCTTTCTGACTTAAATATGCCCTCCCAAAATTACATACAATGACACGTCTACACCAGGGCACACGACTCCATTAAAACACTTAGCTCTGCATACAAGTTTAAAAAAATCGTTTCACCCCTAGCAAGGCGATAATGCCACTAAGTTGCATGGGATTTCTAGAAGTGTAATGATGCAAGGTAAATTAGCGGCCATATGTTTGAGGCTGCCTTCTGGATTTAATATTTCTTTAGTTTCATGATTGAATTAATCCTAGGAAAAGATTATCTGTCTGTCTGACGTGATCCTTCTCGCTGTCGGTGAACATGTCCCTTGTAGTTCAAATTAAGACTCCAAACAGTCCAGAACAGTAATTTTAATTTCTTAAATAGAGAAAGATGTTTCTCTTGGAGTTGGTCATCCCCGATGAAAAAGAATACAGGTTCGATTCTAGTTGAGTAGTATCTTTGTGTCTTTTGTTTTTTTTTTTTTTTTTTTAAATCTTACAGGACAGTAAATATTAGGTTGGTGCAAAAATAATGACGTAATGATGTCGTTTTTGACGTTAAAAAATACGTCCAAAAACGACATTATTACGTCATTATTTTTGCACCAACCTAATATTAATTGTACAACATAAAAAATAATCCCAGATGTCTTCTAAAAACCGTGTGCCTATTAAAGTAATATTTATAGCTATGAGAAATAATTTCAGATAAAACTACCCATTAGTAAGTGGAGAGTACGTTCAAGCCGGCATGTCATCAGGTAGGTAGGATTGTTTTTTTTTTTTTTTTTTTTTTTGCTGGAAACTTTGGAATCATACGAACAAGACCCAAGGGTATAAAATAAATAACATGTTTTATTTGCCGGATTTCGAGCGACTTACATGATATACGCTGTATGGGCACCTGGAGGCGGTGTAATGTTTAGCAAGCTTGTCTAGCTAGAACAATTACAACTGAGTCGTGAGTTCGATCCTCACTGGGCGCCCCATACTTTCGGCCTTGTGCCATATCTGAGCTACGCTTTGGAAAATCACTATGATATACGCTGTGAGAAAATTGTTCGTTTATAAGGCGGATATTGATAGTAACTTGGAGAAAGTCCGACAGTGGTAGTTTTGAAGTCAGGCCGTTATAACGGTAGAAGTAATATTAGAAATATGTCCGTGTCAATCTGCTGTATATTTCCCGACTCTAAGCAGGGCAGACCTATCGTTAGTAGTTGAGCTTCTATTTACTTCTTCGCACGTCCCCCATAGCTGGTTTCTCTGGTGGCTGCGTCTCTGTTCGTCACTCTCGACGTCCCTTCCGATGTCTAGCTCAGGAGGTGTGTATCGTTTTGACCAGGCTCCGAGATTCTGGTGTGAACGTTGGCTTCGGTTAGCATCAAATGTCTCTTTGTTTTATTTTTTTGGGATTGGCCACAATTATTTTACTTTCCGACGTTCCTTTCATTTTCAGTATTTTTTTTTCTTTTTTGTAACTGAAGTTATACCTGATTTTGTGTAATTTACAATCTCAAACTAATAAGCTCTGTTCCCGCAAACTGCCAGTGTTTTTCAATCATGTTCACTCTCTTCTCCCTCCTTGTTTTATTTGAGGGTTGCCTTCTCATTAGTTGGGAGATGAGTATATATAGAGATGTGTAGATTTAGAGAAAGAGAGAAAAAATTAGATATGGGTTTTAAAGCAATGTGCAAATGCCTTGTTTTTATTTTGATTCTATTTATTTTTGTTTTTATTCATTTTCTTTTTATATTTTAATTTTATCAGGATTCACTAAAAATATCTGAAAGTATAGACAGATATATATATATATATATATATATATATATATATATATATATATATATATATATATATATAATACAGAAATGTCTATATTACAGAACAAGGTAGGTCAATTCAATGATTACGCGGAATAATTCTCTTTAAAACGGATCAAATTAGAAAGATTGGCTTGAGTGAATGATTCGTTTTTTTTACGGCTTATCAACCCACTGCGGGTTATTTAAAGCCAGAAGATAGTTTTAGATTGTAAGATGGATTTTGTTTTCGAAATAATAATGACGAGAGAAGTTTTACTAAATAGTTGGTGGGAGAAAAATATGATTTCGTACCTCTCCCAATGAAAATGAATGCAATAAACCAGTGGTGAATTTGAACTCGGCGCCCCGTTTAACATATTCGAGGCATCATACATAAAACCACTCATACATCAAAGCTTACATCACCTAATATTATCCAAGCGGGTCACCTATCTAGGTTCTGGCAGAGTTCGACTTCGCTTCACCTCGAATATCGTGCGGGAACTGGTGCTTCAACGTGATGTGACCGTAAGCCGCCATATTTAGCATTTTTTTATTATTATAATTTCAAAATCCACTGAAGTCTGTGAAACTTAGGCTAAATTTCTCATTTCTCGTCTTGATCATCAATATATTATTTTTGCGATTTGTTATTAATCATCTAATTTGGTGTCATTTATTCACTCATTAAATTATTTAACTGCGAATTCATAATATTTACAATGAAACAATGATTGTTAAATTTTCTATCAATGGAGGTGAGAGTGATTCCTATATATATATATATATATATATATATATATATATATATATTTTTTATATATGATTCTAGATTCTTCTTTTTCTTTGGGAGAGTTAGTATGCAACCTTCTGTCCACCTTTCTATGAATTCTGCGGCGTTACAGAGATGAAATATCGTTAAAATCCTGATCACACCAGATAACCTCAAGCGTAGATTCTTTCGAGCCACTATAGAGGCGGTGTTACTCTATGTTGCCACTGAATTAATTAAAACCCTAATATATATGCTAGATGGAACCTACTTCACTTGGAGACAACATACAATTAAATCACAGCTCTATGGACACATCCCTGGAATTTTTACAGTCGGGTAATTTGCTTTTTAAGCCGAGCGATAAATATGAAACAAAAATTTGCCCAATAGTTAGATTTAGGTGTAAATGTATATGCTTAATTCTAAAATAACAAACAAATTTTGATAAAATCTCCCATTTTGAAGTTATCGACAATAGAATTTCGAACTTATTCGCGTCGCGGCAGCCATTACTGGCGTTGTTTGCAGATATCTGCTGCGAAATAACCATTTCTTGTCGCGCACGCAACGAGTCCTTAGTTGCGCAGTAATTCAGTCAAGTAAGAACGGTAAAAAGGCCGTTAGAATATGATCTTCCACGCAAATCTGGTCATCAGTGAATGCATGCAAACAAGGTCAGTAATATTTACCGTAATGTAACGCGAATGAGTCCGAAATTTTATTGCCGATAACTACTAAATGCTAGATTTTTTAAAAAAATTCTTTGTTATTTTCGAATTACGCATGTAAATTTACACGTACATATAACTATTTGGTAATATTTTATTACTTATTTAGCGCCGGGGTTAAAAAGCAAATTTCCCTTACAATCTTACGCGATCGCAGAATATGGTTTTCAGAACAAGAACTCGCGAGTGATCTACTGCTCTGGACATCTAGCCATGGAGCAAGACGGGTTGGTCACACAGCAACCATCTATATGTTATGAAAAAGAATGCCTTCCTAATGAATTTCTGACCTTGATGAAGGACCGTGATGTTTCGCGTAATAGATTCATGAATGTCATAGCAGGTTAGACCACATAAAAAAGTAAAGCAATAAGTATTATATTTTAATTTCATCATATCCATATTTTTAATTACGCATTTTCCTAAGTATTTGAACCCCACTAATTAATAGTGCATTGGCTCTACTTCAAGCTATCCAGTGTATGACTATAACCTACATCTGCGTCCTGGGTAAGACGATAAACTACGTCCAACAGCAAGGCTTCTGATCAGGAGGAGCGTGGAACCACCTCTTAATTGCTGGTGTTCGCAGGCGCACCCTACCGCGGGATGACAGCACCTGTGTGTCCCAGCTATGGGTAAATAGTTAACCCCTAAACTGGGGGTCAAATCAGCATGAAAGTGTAAAAATAGATTTTAGTACCAGGAATACTTTGTAAAAGATTATTACCAGCAATAAATCTTTGAAGAAATATTACTACCACCAATACATTTTTGAAAAAAAATTATTCCCAGCACTAGTATTACCATCTATACATTTAAAAAAAATGTTAACAGCAATAAAAATCTTATCGGCATTAAATAACCCAATGAGGTTGATATGCCGTAAAATAAGACAAACCAAACCAAACCAAATCTACTTCAAGGAAAAGAAACTCTGCCAGGAAAATCTTCTGAAAAACTTATTTGATTTAATGCCAGTCTAAGCTAAAATTGGTTAATATTGCTACGTATATTGTCACTAATAATCTTACTCGTTGTCACCATTGTTCAATGTTTAAACACATTTATTGCGAAAACTAATTTCTATAGAAAGTAATTACAGCCACAATATTTCTAATCCGTGACTGGCCATTGGTCCGAATAATTAAAAAAACAAATTGAGGAAATGTTTTATAATTATGTTCCTTCCTTATTAATCTAAGCGTTATTTTAGTAGGTACCCGTGTTTGAATAGACGCCTCGTTCATTTAGAAATTTATTTCAAAGACCGTGATATAATAAATAATAGAAAAATTAAAAATTAATTAGTAAATAAATAAACATGGCGTCTATTCAAATATGCGCATCAACAAAAAAATGTTTAGAGTAATAGAAAATAATGTAGGTTTGGTTTGGTTTGTTTTGTTTTATGGCATATCAACCACAATAGGTAATTTAATGCCGACAAAACTTCCTTTTTTTCAAAAGTGTATAGCTAGTAATATATATTTTTTTAAATGTATAGATTGGTTTGTTTTGTTTTGTGGCATATTAACCTCAATGGGTTATTTAATGCTGACAAGATTTTATTTCTGGTAACATTTTATTTTTCGTATATTTATTGCTGATACTA